GCTTCAGTATTGGATTTAATATTGGAAAAGTCTCGTTTGGGGTCCTGGCTGGATTGTGCTGTGTTGTAGTATAACTTTAGTATTGGAAATGCTTCGTTTGAGATCCTGGCTGAATTGTGCTGGGTTGTAGTTCATATTTAGTACTGGAAATGCCTTATTTGAGGTCCTGGCTGAATTATGCTGGGTTGTAGTACAACTTTAGTATTGGGAATGCCTTGTTTGAGGTCCTGGTTGGATTGTGCTTGGTTGTAGTGCAATTTTAGTACTGGAAGTATCTCGTTTGGGGTCCTGGCTGGATTGTGTTGGGTTGTAGTACAACTTTAGTACTGGAAATGCCTCGTTTGGGTCCTGGCTGGATTGTGTTGGGTTGCAGTACAACTTTAGTATTGGAAATGTCTCGTTTGGGGTCCTGGCTGGATTGTGCTGGGTTGTAGTTTAACTGTAGTACCGGATCTCGTTCCGGGTCCTGATTGGATTGTGCTGGGTTGTAGTACAACTTTAGTACTGGAAATGTCTCGTTTGGGGTCCTGGCTGGATTATGCCGGGTTACAGTACAATTTTAGTGCTGGAGATGTAGTACAATTTTAGTACTGGAAGTGTCTGGTTTGGGGTGCTGGCTAGATTGTGCTAGGTTATAGTATAACTTTAGTTTTGGAAATGCCTCGGTTCCGGGTCCTGGCTGGATTGTGCTTGGTTATAGTACATAGTACTGGAAATATCTGCTAGACCTGCCTGGCACTGCCGGCTATATCAATTTAGCCGACTTAGGCCAAGTCACCGCTAAATCCATTTGTCTGATTTCGCACCCACATATTTACCCATATACACACACCGACACACGCGCGCGTACACATCATACACTCCTCCATTCTCTTATCCAGCCCTCACTCACTTATCTACTCACGCACTCCTTCATTCTCTTATTAAGATCTTTACATGTAGGTTATCCGGTCCTTTAATTTTATTATAAAAAAATAAAAAAAATAGAAAAAATCTAGATTTTCGAAATTATTTGATGAAAAAAATATAATAAATCGATTTTATCAAAATATAGAATAATTGCTGAATATATTTTTCTTATTTAAATTTAAATATGAAATAATAAAAATATATGCTTTTAATTCTCTATATAGCAAATAATAATATAAAATTCTTTTATATATCAGAATTTTTATATCTAATTCGAATATCTTTAAAAAATAATTAAGAATATTATTAATTCAAGCATATCCTTACCGAATGCTTCATAATATTTTAAATATTATTTTAAATAATATTATTTGAAATATTTATTCATATTATTTAAAATCGTAAATTATTACCAAAATAAGAATAAATATAAAAATGAATTCTTCAATAATTATGAATCTTTATTTCTCTTCATATTTCAAATATATAATTTTCATTATTTATTGATTTTAACTCATATCTTAAATTCTACTATTCGAAAAAATAAATTCAATTTCGTTGTCTATATCCCTTAATTCATATATATGTTCCCTTTCTATAGTATATATATTCTAATTTCAATAATGGAATAAATTTCGTAGAAATTCATCTCTATAATAAATATCAAATTCATAATTTTAGAATTTCATAAAAAAATCTTCTTTGGATCATATTTATTTGATTTCTTGGGTCGATCTACAAATTTCTATCTAGAATAAATGCTATTAAATCCGAAGATTTCGAATTAATGATCTCTGCAAAATATCCTTATCTTGGAATATTATCTCGCAAAAAATCGGGATCGGTTGAGGCAACCTTGATGGTATTTATTGTAGTTCGCCTCATTGTCTCAACTCTAAGGGTGCGCTTTAGAGCGCCAACTTCTCCGTAACAGAGCCCTCGTAGAAGCCCGGCGTATTAAGTTGAGCTTTTCGCAAACGCACATGCCCTCAGGCCTGTCAGCGAGTCCTTGTGAGCTGATGACGAGATCGGCCTGGTCCCCGACCTGTTGAGAGGCCTACGGACTTTAGGGTCTAGGATTTACTTCGGCCGAATTCAGGTCGTATTCGTATCAGATAACTCGAAGTCCCAAAACGTTTCCTGATGAGCGCCCTCCGGCAGCTGTCGGTGCAATCTGCAAGTGTTGCGACCTGCCTGCGAAATGCCAGAATCGTGCTAGTGCACCACCATTCGGCGAAAGCACTGCCACAGATTGGGGTATGACATGTTGCTGCCAGAGCTTCAAACAACAGCATGACCCCATGTGGGCCCCTTTCGGAGGCCGAGAAACAAATTGTCAGCTAGAAAACTGCACATCGCCACCGAAGCAGGGCCTCGATGGCGGCCAAGAACAGAGTAGGCCTAGGCCCTGATTAGGCCCAGAAGGGCGCGAGAACCGCAGCGAGAGAGAGCGCAGCTCCCACTCTGCAAGCAGCACTCGCCTCCTGCGATGCTACTGTGGTCGTCGTCTCCAGAGGTTCGAACACTTTCCCAGCGCTGCACATAGGCGGTGTGTGGAGGCGGTCGTGCAGAGACTGGCAGTCGTTCTGGCCCTGGGCGCTGTAGAGGGGGCAGTCTTGGTGACCGACCACACTCTGGGCGTTGAGGTTGGAAACCCGCCACAAGTACTTCTGCCCACAGGTGCTGGTGAAGTCTCTGTCCCAGATCGCCTCCATCAGGCCCGCCAGAGTTTGCTGCGGCTCTGACTGCTGGATGTCAAACCAACTCATTCCCTGACTGTTCCCATCCCCGAATGCATCACTAACCTGCCCATCAAGGCGGAAGATATTCGGTGGGTTTCGCGCAAGAGCCGGAACCTGATCGGCGGTGACGTTGTAGATCGTGCCGAAACCCCGGTACTTTGCTGGGTCGTAGTCGGGCCACAGGGAAGACTCGTCGATGATGACATCCGCTTCGGCCAGGAAGCTCGTGAAGGCTGCATCGCCAGCCGGTTTGTCACACTCCATCGTCTTCGTGCCGTCAGTGTTGGTGGAAAAGGTGCACCCAGTTGGGGCCACAGCCGGCAATGGAACCACCTGGGCACCCGCGTCGATGATGAACTGGGTCTTGTAGGCCGCGTTGGCGACTGTGTTTGAGCTTCCACTGTTCACAAACATCACCTTCGGCTGCGCCCCGTTGTACTCGGTGCTGGCGTCGGTGCGGAGCTGGTCCCCGATGGCTTTAAGAGCGTTGTAGTCCGCCTTGATCTGCTCGAAGATGTGATCAGCCTGCGCCTCCTCGTTGTAGAAGAGGGCCATGAACTTGATCCACTCGGCGCGGCTGAGGCTTCCGGGGTCGAGGGAGATCATGAAGGGGACGTCCTTCGTGGCGTCGCCGCCCCAACCTGTGCCGGAGGCGTCCGTGAACACCACGTCAGTGCGGCTTGCCCTGGTCATCCACTCGGGGTTGGCCGACCAATCCGGCAGGCTCGTTGGGATGTGGGTTTCCGGATAGCAGACCTCCAACAGCTGCATGCAGGGGGACGAGATTGAGCGTATGTCCACCATGTCGATCGACTGCGTCACCCCAAGCAATTCAATGAAGGTAAGAGGGCCACCCCATCCAACCGTTGCGTTCTTCACCGGAATCTCGAAGAAGTGGGCGTCTGAAGCTACGCCGGGCATACCTGTGGTAGGCTTCGTGGTGCCACATTGGTAAAGAACCATCGGTGGGATCCTCGTGCCCCTCAGCGATGGCTCCGGATGCCACTTTGGATGGTACTGCGCCAAAGTGGCAGAGTACTCGATCACCTTGTACTGGTCGTAGTAAGTCACGTCGTACAAATTGGCGAAGCTAATCTTGTCCAATCCCGCTAAGTTGCTCGGAAAGGGCTTTCCCCACGATGGGCAGTCACCCGCTGATGGCTTGAGGCCAAGAGCCATAAGCAGAGCTGCTCGGGCGAACATGGCTGGTTGATGAAACTGGAAGCACGGGCACTTGATGCGAAAGCGGCTTCAAGTGCGTTTATGGGCTTCCACTTAACGATTTGCTCTTCCTCTTTCTTGAACTAGCGAAAGACGCACAGAAAGACATACCTGCTCAGCCCACAATGCGTGGGAAATAACCTCGTAATAAGTCCGCTTAGGAGGTTCAGGAGAACCCCTAGGCCCCTTTACAAGCCCTTCAATAGAACACTTAGCCCTATCCCATGAAGGCCCCGACACATCCCGACACCCTGAAGCCTTCAGCCCAAGAGAACCCTTGGAAGTACCCGCATGGAAAGACTATTCTACTAAGTACGCGGGAGGTTCCAGAGGGGGGCAAAGTGAACAGAGTGAACAGAGTAACCTGAAAGGATGAGAAGGACCGTGAAGGAGGCGCACGTGCGCCATCCGGAAAGGCAGGCCCGGAAAAGGGGGTATGGCCCAGAAGAGGGGCGACGCGGAGTGAACGTGGTTTAGGGTTTAGGGATTAGGGTTTAAGCACCCAAAAGAAGCCCAAGTCGACTGACTGCGGCCCTTAAGGGCTCCCTGAAGGGTCCCCTTGTAGGGGTCCCTTTAAGGATACCTATAACAAGGTTTCCTTAAACTTCACTTAATGGGAAAGAAGAGCCTCCACTGACTCTAAGAGCTTCCGCAGCTCCGGGGCGAAAGGCAGGTCCTGGCTCAAAGGCAACTTCTGGGTTTAGGGTTTAGGGCTTAAAGTTTAAGGTTTAGGGTTTAGGGCTTAAGGTTTAAGGCTTAGGGTTTAGGGTTTAGGGTTGCTTATATCGGATTTCGGCGCTTCTGGATTTGTGCATATTTCGAATTTCGACAGTTGGAGTTAGGGGTGTTGCGGTTTTGGGGTTTAGGGATTTGCGCTCTCGCAACTCGAGCAAGCCAGACCAGGTCTCTCGGTACGACTGCATACTACGGGAGGCGTAAATAAGATCCGATACCAGGAACCATTCAAACAAACACGCGCCCCGAGTGTCTCAGACGGCATTGCGCCCGTGTCCGGTCATGTCCACTCCATAAACCAACCAAACATCAACCTTTCCGCGTTGGACACAGCCAAGAAAGCCCCTGCAACATCAATCCGTGGGTCATAGCCCAGGGTTTAGGGGTTTAGGGGTTCAGGGTCTAAGGTTTCAGGTTTCGATTCACACATTCGCACAAGGCAGGCATGGCGTTTAGGGTTTAGGGTCTGGGGCTTTGGGTTTAGGGTTTTAGAGGGTTTAGGGCTCAGGGTTTTTAGGTTTAAGGTTTTATAGGGTTTAGGGTTTAGGGTGTTATGGTCATTTTGCGGATGTTTGGGCGTGTTCATATGAAAGGCCGACAGCTCTCGGACCCCTGATTTCGAACCCCAAGCAGGTTAGGACCGTCTAGGTCTGCCATTGCTCCGGGCCCTTGTTAAGGAACTTGATTCACGTTATCATTACAAGGATCCATAGCAAGTACTCAGGTTTCCTCATCATGATAACTTAAATTGAGTTCAGATCCCTTCATCCCCGGTTCACTCCGCACTCATATGCATTCTTTCGAGCCACTCCGTTGCATTTATGATTCAGGGCCTTTCTTTCCCATCCGCACCGCAGGCTTGAGGTAAAGTCTAGGGTTCAGTGCACCGAGGTCTTCGGTTGCTGGGATTGGGCTTGCAGCTTCAGTCGCAACCAGGTCCTGGTCGTAGTCAAAGTCGGCATCCTGTCTGACAGACAGGGCATCTTCTCGGGCGTAAGGGGTGAGTGGAACATGAAAACGCTGAGGCGCAACATTCGACCCTAAACCCTAAACCCTAAACAACATGGGGCAGCTGGCTCTCGTGGCGGATGCCGCGGAGTCGAGGGTCCGTGACTGTGGACTCGCGCGACACTGTAAAAAACCCCAAACCATAACTAGACCCCAAGAATGTGTACCACAACCATTGGTGCATCCGGGCTTGGGAAGTCGTTGAACATCGTTGAACCATAACCATACCTGCTCAACACCACAACCCTCCAAAAGTGTGAACATTCCCATAAACCCTAAACACCCAAATCCCATAGCCGTAAACCCCGAAACCACAACCATAATCCCTAAACCCTAAACCACATAGCGGTAAACTTCAAGACCACATCCCGAAACTAAACCCTAAATCCTCCCTAAACCCCAAACCCTAAACCAAATAGCCCTAAAACCCTAAACCCTCCCTAAAGGCCTAAAGCCCTAAAGCCCTAAAGCCTAAACCCTAAACCCTAAAGCTTAAAACCTAAAGCCCCCAAAGCCCCCTAAACCTGGGACCGCTTCTTCTGGCCTCCTGCGCCTTCTTCCGGATGCAAGCCTCGAGGATTTTAGGGTTTGGGGCTTAAGGGATGTAGGGCTAGGTTTTATGGCTTAAGGGCTTTAGGGTTTTATTTTGGGGGTTTTGGGGTGTTCGGGTTTAGAGTTCAGGGTTTAAGGCTTTAGGGTTCAGGGCTTTGGGATCAATGCCCTTATTGCTGCTTGTAAAGGCCGTATAAAATCTTCTAAACCTTCCGAAGGTTCAAAAGCCCGACGGGCTTAGGAAGGCCATGGAGGGCTGCATCAGGGGCAAGGGCTTTAGGCCTGGGTTGGGGGGATGGGGGGTTTAGGCTTCGGGGTTTTAAGGTTCAGCGACTGCGCAGGGCTTTGGGGTTCACGGCGTGCTGCAGGAACACACGTGAGAAGAAGCCATGGCAGCCAAGGCAACACTGATGCTCCACCGAGCTGCGATAGGGTAGCTCAAGCCTTATGCTGGCATAATATAGCGGGCGTGATGGATATAACAGTGTTTTGATCTACATTCTTAAACTGCATTTTGGAACCAGGTTTATACCAGGGATTGATTGCAGATGTCATCCGGTGTCATTGTTCGGCTTCGGGCCGTTACCCCTGTAAGTCCCACCACCCGAAGGCCGAAGAACTAGGCTCTGTAAAACTAAGGCGTCGGAGACTTGAAATGCTGAAACACCCAATTCAAACTCAACATCCTTATTTGCTGCCGCTTCTAGGTACAGTGCATGTGCGCCTGACACGACATGTTGCAAGTGCGTGATGCACCCTGCAACCACCAAAATCGTTCCGAAATCGTGCACCACCGTTTGGTGGATGCATTGTCATGACATGTCGTCAGAGCTCGGAACAACATCACCCCTCTGGGACTAGAAGACTCAGCTTCAGGTCAGAAAAATTGTACGAAACCTAGAAGACCCGGCCAAGAGCCAGCTTCTCCTCAAAATCTCTACAGAAAAAAAGCCTCCAACTAAAATGCTGCCCAGCAAGGCGCAAACACCAAAGCAGCCAAAGCAAGCGCACCTCCCACTCCGCACGCGGCACTCGCCTCCTGCGATTGAATTGTCGTCGTCGTCATAGTTTGGAACACATTCCCCGCGCTGCACATAGGCGGTGTGTGGAGGCGGTCGTGCAGAGACTGGCAGTCGTTCTGGCCCTGGGCGCTGTAGAGGGGGCAGTTTTGGTGACCGACCACACTCTGGGCGTTGAGGTTGGAAACCCGCCACAAGTACTTCTGCCCACAGGTGCTGGTGAAGTCCCTGTCCCAGATCGCCTCCATCAGGCCCGCCAGAGTTTGCTGCGGCTCTGACTGCTGGATGTCAAACCAACTCGAGCCGACAGAGCTCCCATCCCCGAATGCATCACTAACCTGCCCATCAAGGCGGAAGATATTCGGTGGGTTTCGCGCAAGAGCCGGAACCTGATCGGCGGTGACGTTGTAGATCGTGCCGAAACCCCGGTACTTTGCTGGGTCGTAGTCGGGCCACAGGGAAGACTCGTCGATGATGACATCCGCTTCGGC